ACTGTGCGATTTAGAAGATGTTTTCTTCCTCGCACAACTTCCTTGTGGAATAGTTTACCACCAGGGATTTTTCCGGACCGATACGACTTAGGGACCTTCAAGAAAAGAGCCTACTCCTTTTTAAAAGGCCGGCAACGCATCTGCAATTCCCCTGGTGTTGCGGTTGTTCATGGGCGGCGGTAGTCACTTACCATCAGGTGAGCCGCATGCTCGTTTGCCCCCTCTCCTATAAAAAAAAAAAAAAAAAAAAGTAAAAGTCGCAATATGCTGATGAGTATAAAATGCACAGCAAAAAATCCGACGAACTTTTGCAATTAAAAGAAATGGAGAAATTAGCAAAAGGGCGCTGTTCTCGAAATTACCTTAGCCCTGTAATCGTTAGAAAGTTTAATTACTTTATGCATTAAGGGATGAATGCAATCAAATTAAATTTCCACTGAGCATTAATGAATTTTCAGCAGTTGAAGTTTTCGGATTATTACTGATAAAGGAAGGCCGGTTGGAAAATTTTCTAATATACGAGAATGTGTGTATGTGTGGGTGTGTGTGTTTTTTTTAAATACATACGAACAGCGTCACGGTTGTGATCTCCAAGAGGGTTGGCAGTCTAAAGAGCAGCGAGCTACTTGAACTACCTACGTTTAGCCAATAACATGATTTTTTTTTAAATGAATTGTGGAAGAAGAGATAGGTGGATAGTCCATCACATACTCAATCACAAAGCCAAAATCCTATTATTTGCCTTTTTATGACAATTTTTTTTTCAAATATTTATGTTGTTGTATAAGTTGCAGAACAAACATCTGCAATGTTTGTTCTGCAACTTATCTACGTAAAACGTGTCATCATACAGGGGAAACTACTGGTAGGAGAAGTGTAACTATAAAAAAATATTTTTATTGGATAGGGTAATAAACAAGCACACAGTCTACCTGATGGTAAGTGGTTGCTGTGGCCCATAGACGTCTACATCTATCCTCGTTTGCGAATCAAAATGCAGATGCGTTGTCACCCGTGAGGACTAAGATGGAATGCCTCTTTTCCAGTAAAATGGGTCTCCGGTACTCTACACTTACCATACGAAACACAGCAGTGTTAAGCTGCTATTTGACGTTGGTATTCTGAGAGAGCGTGGTCCTTCCCCGGTTGAGCCGACCCATTCGTGCTACAACTATACTACTAATATAGCTGCAGCATAGCTCTACTACGTATATATGTGTACTTAGTTTAAATTATGTACCGTGTAATTACTTGATAAATTAAATAAAAATTAGATCAATATTTTTTCTGATGAAGTATTCTTCCTTCTTCAATTACTTCATAGTTTATGTTACGTCTTAGTTTATGAAATTTGAAATGTAAACAAAGGATTATATTGTGCATAAAATCTTTGGTTGTTTGGTATATAATTATTAATAAAATACGTTAAAATATCTGCGTCTTTTAGTATTTGAATAGCTGGGCGAATTCTAATAAAATATATTGCGTGATAGTCGATGTCATCTACGTAAAATAATATTTAAAACAATGAAGACAAAATTAAAATAAATAATATATTTATTAGCATAATTTGGCGACATAGACCTAAAAAAGAATTTCAATTAAAAACAGATGAGACGTTGTAATTAAGCGGTGGAATCTCGAATCACGTTTATCGTAAATCAATCCTAAAATCTTATGACAACAAAAATATATATGACATATTTTTGTTTGAAGATTCGTGTGCAGACCATAAGGGTAATATACCTTTCAGCACACTGTGATTTTACTCGACAAAATAAAACAGTGCACCGTATCAATTGTTTGAGACGTGGAGGGTTCCGTATGATTTATGTGCCGTTGAATTAAAATGTTGCGCCAAAGGGGAATACTTTTATAAAGCTCGGCTTGCATTGACGCGCGGTAGCGGGTTTAGCGGCGGGGCAGAGAAGCGTTTTAAATGTGTATGAAATCCAAATTTTTTTATTCAATTTAGACTTGCATTAAGTCCCTATGAACGTCAGAATCTACAGTTATTTAGTAATTTTTATGGATCAAAACTTATAGTGTTTGCGTAGGAATTTTCATTTACATTTAAATTCATAAACTTAAACCTTCTATTTAAATTTTATTTTCGCCCGATTCCCATATTCAAGGAACGTTTCGTTCTTCGTTACGATTCCTTTTATAACATACGAGGTGCATGTAAAAACAGTTTATACTACAAACTATTCATTGAGCAACTTAGAATAATATAAAAATATTAACAGGTTTAAACGGTTCATAAATAGTTGAACCGGTATTTTGTTTTAGAATAATTTAAAATTAAAAATGTTGCACAGCAGACTTCAATATAAGTTATTAAGAATAACTCAAAAACTATTGGTTTGACCTTGATCTAATTCATATGGGACTACACGAAAAGTACCAGCTTTCAAATAAAAAAAGAATCATCGAAATCGGTCCACCCAGTAAAAAGTTATGAGGTAACACACATTAAAAAACATACAGTCGAATTTAGTACTGTCTCCTTTTTGAAAGTCGGCAGAAAAAGGGGTTTTCAAGCACTTCAAACATCCTGAAATACGACTCGGAAACCCTTTCTACTAGTAACGAGGCGTTCCATTAGCTTTTTTTTTAAATAATCGAAGATAGGTGTTTATTAGCTACAGCAACTACTTATGATGATGTGGACTCAGTGTCTCTTTGTCATATTTATTTGTCACTAGCAAACCGCTCCAACTTCGCCTGGATAGAATCTATTAATGTAGCGTTATTTAGATTTAAGATAAATAAAGATCTTTTTATATTCTTTATCGTTTCTCAAAACACAAAACTTTAAGTTTTCGTATATGGGGATGCCTCCTCCCGAACAAATCGAGTCTAGTTTCTATGGTTTCATCACAATCGGTTTGGCCATTCCAAAGATTAACCCGGATAGACAGACAGACAAAAATTTAAAGATGTTTGTTTATGTCTTAATATCATGCAAACTCCCTGAGCTTAATAGCAGCCAATTATTTTAATATTACAAACAGACTCTTTAGTTTTATTTATGTTATATAATGAAAAAGGAAATATTATAAATTTACAAATTATTATATTTGTATAATTAAACCGCGGATATCTTGCTAATGCAACCAAACCCGACACGAAGCGGGGTGTAAATAAAACAGAGAGCTGTTAATACCACCATATCCAAACAAATCGCCGGCTCTCGCTGCCGACGTGTCTCCTACAGATTGGCTAGCGGATTAGCCGTTCATTCCATTGTTTTAATTAAAAGAACCTCTTCATTTTAAAGTATACTCCATAGACCGATGCTGCGATGAACAATTGTATTTAATTTTAAATCTAAGTTAGGTTGAATTAGACATCGATATAAGAAACATCGACGTTGACATCGATTTTTAAGTATAGACGGAAAATGTCGATTTCCGAAATCATTGACGTTATAGGTGGAAAAATAAACAATCCATGATTTTTTTTGTGTCGATGTTTTCGAGGACTTAACATCGATGTTTATCTACCATCGATGAATATCGATCTTCAATAGGTTTAATTAAAGGAAATGGTTGATTGAAGAAATTTTGAAATAACAATTGATTAATTTTATAACTACGTAACTATTTAAATAGTTCGCTACCTTTGATACGTATGTATATTATTACGCTAAGACGAATATATTCATAAAGTAACATTGGACATTTTACGTAGATAACATGTCTGAGTAAATACTTATGGTATTTGTTTTTGGCGTATTTTAAATTGGATTATAAATTCGATAGCCTAGTCAAAAGTGAACGTCGAACTTTTGTTTATAAAATTGGGTTTATATTTTTTGATTTCTTACTTTTATGACCCGCCGAACTTCGTACCGCCTAACAGTCGATTCTTTAATTTTTTTTTAATACTTATTCTGCTATTCGGGACACCGGGTCAGCTAGTAAGATAAAAAAATAAAAAGAAAGTTGATAAATCAACAATTACATTATGTCAAAAAATAAAAATTATAAAACACTTAAATTTTTTTTAATAGACACTAAAAATCACAATGAAAATTACAATTTCTGATTTCTTATTATGATACCTGCTTATTATATTTCATTTTATATTTACTTATTCTAAATTAAGTTTCCATCGTATAAATATTGACAAATATTTATACGATACGATACGATATAATATTTATACGATACTAACGTCACTCAATTATTTTGCCTTCCCGGAACCCCTCCACTAACACTTAAACTTTATGGTATGGTATTAAAGTTCAAATTGACTTTTAAGTATTATTAGGAATCTTTTGTATGGGAATATAGAAAAGTGTTGTTTTTAGACTTTTTCAGGCAATTTTTAAAATTTTTCTCTCCGTAAGAACCATCCTCGTACTTCAAGGAATATTATAAAAAAAAGAATTAGCGAAATCGGTTCAGCTGCTCTCGAGATTTGCGCTTAGCAACACATTCAGCGATTCATTTTTATATTATAGATTTGATTGATTCACAATAACCTTTGCTTTACCATTAATATACTACGAGGGACTGTTTTCCTAATTTTCAAAACATTTTTTTATCTATAATCAACCGTTTTTAACTTGACACCTCCGCTAATATCTCCATTTTACCTTTTGGAAACGGAACCATTCTTTTTACTTTGGTAATGAACTTGTACTGATGTACTTTTGCCAGTGTAAAGTATATTAAGAAATTCTCCTTTAAAATAATTTGTTTCAAAACTTCTTCACAATATGTTAATGCGTCGTATTTTAAAGTTTTTGGGCGATATTAACAGCATCTCGAGCCAGTAGACAATCGATGACAATAGTATCTCAAGGCGCCTAATCTTATCTTGAGATTCACAACACCATCGGAGTACTTGTTTCATCGTTTCCACTAGTTCACATGCGGAGATATTTAATGCATAAAATCACACCACTATTACATATCAAAATCCAAGTCACACCATTATTTAAACAATAATACAGGAGTAGCAATCCGCCGCCGATTGCAAAGTTCCCATCAAACCTCCTGCGGAACCATTATAAAGCATGCAGCACTCACCCGATCGCATGGCGCCGGTGCGTGTAGTTGCCTCGCCTGCCCTCGCCCCAGGGCCTCCCGTTTCCTCTGCGCACTGAACAGCCTCAGCTCCTTCCTCTCCTCGTCTGACAACGCGTGGCAGTAGCGGACCTGAAGATTGGCATTACTCACTTTGAGTATGTGCAAGGAAGGTAATGATGAAATGGGGTAATTAATCTTTTTACGTGTTAGAACCACGCTGCAACTTTATTATAGTTAGAGCACAAATAAGTCGGTTCGACCAAACCACGCTCTAACAGAATACCAGCGTAAATAGTAGGTTTAATGCTGCTGTGTTTCGTTTGGTGAGTTTAGAGAACTGCTGACCTTTTTTGCTGGAAACGAGGCATTCCATCTTAGTCTTCTGGGGTGACAACGCATCACCCATTTCTATTCTTAATCAAGGATAAATGTAAATATCTATGGACCACAGCATCCACTTATGAGGTGAACTGTGTGCTGGTATTTATTTATTTATTTATTCTTTATTGCATTCCTTAATCTAAAAGAATACAAAGGACGGACTAATGCCTTGTGGTATTCTCTATCAGTCAACCCATGGAGTGGTGAGAATTTGAAGTAGGTGTAACAATACAGAATAAAAACTAAATAGAAATGATAATTAATTACGTTATATATACATTTAACTAATATATACAATAAATAAAATATAAAAATATATCCTATGCATACATGTATACAAATATATACGTACATACATAAGCATACATATATGTAAAAGGCAAAGACTAGAATGACCTCGTTGTTATCACTACAGTTTTTCTCAAGTCCACTAGTAATCAAAGTACTGAATAAAGGACCCCCGATCCGAAGAAAGTCATAAAACACGATCCTAAGCAAAATGCTTCCACCGGTTTCGTGCATGTCTTACCAGGTCGTGCCTCCATCAAGTGGGAGGTTGCTATATACTGTAATATATTTTATTACTATAATACCTACCATCTGTATATTTTCACATCTATCTTTTAGTATGAGATCATGTCGCTATATAGTTCAAGGCTGCTCTCATTTCTTAGATGGTCTATAATAGAATAAGTTTCTTACGCTGCTCCAATGGGTACCTGATATATTCTCATGAGTTTCCTTTTATTAAAGAAAATAAGTGAATAACGAACTGCAGTCCGCGAAGACCATCTCTTGTTTCAGTTTCCCTCTTACGACATCCACGGGATGATATGGGGTAGTGGATATCCTTACCCCGCCACTACAGGGTCATTGAGTTGCGTTTATAATGAATTTCGTTTTTTATTTATTACTTGATACAGACTCCTTACAGGTCGAACCCAATGCGATAGTGTCCTCTTTTTTATTACAAACAAAACACACTAATAATATTAAAATATATGTAGCTAAACAAACGAATAAAAAACAAAATATAAACAGTCAAAAGTAAAAAACTATTATACAAAATCAGCTAAAAAAAACTGTAACATTAATGTACATACCTCATTGTCCTGTGGAGGAAGCTGCTGCAGCAACTGCTTCAGTCGATGTCGCTCGCCCACGCTGTTTACATACGGCACTTTGTCTTCTGGAATCGTGGAGAAGTACAAGTGGACCTAGAAGCAAATGAAATGTTTTTGTGAGTGAGCGCATAATAAGTTAAATATCAGTGGTGGCCCTGTCGTCGCGCCACAAGCGAAACGCACCGAAACCTAAATCGCGCTATCAAAGTTTCCAAGTATTGCGGTATATATAGAATAGCTCTGCACTATGGATGCTGTAAAAGCCAAAAAGGCTAACAGCACTCAGAATAAAAATACCATCAAAAGGAGCATTGGCTACTCCCCGGCTGATCAACTTTCCGCTTTCCTTCAATGACCAAATTATTTGCCTCGTTAACCGCCTTCCTCATCATGCTGTATTCATAAAAGTAAGGGTTATATCATTTCTAATTTGAGAATAAAAATGCAGATGTGTTTTTTTATTTATTTTGTTTAAATCGTAACGTTTTTATAGTTTAAAAAAACGTTACCACCACACTAGGATTTTCTCCTGTATTGTGGAGGCAGTTTACAAACATAAATTGCACAAGGACAAACATCCAGGACCGGTACAATTATTTGTATGGTAAACTAATGTCGGATTTTGAACCTGCGGCCCTCAGCCCCTCAACTCAATCCTAAGCCACTGCGTCACGGAGTCTAAGCTTTGAGGGCTAAGATGGAATGCCTCGCTACTAGTTAAAGATTTACCGTTTCTTTGCATTCGCCAAACACAGCATCATTATGGTGCTATTTTACATTGGTATTCTGGGAGGACGTGGTCTTACCCCGGTTGAGCCCACCCATTCATGTTGCAACCATAACATAGCTGCAGCGTGGCTCTATAACGTTAGTGTAATTTAAAGTATCTATTATAAATTGTATAAGCGTATTTTGTGATTCTTTGTATGTCCTCCCCGATATAATTTAGTGTAATGTAATATGTTTTTATGTATATATTTGATTGCTTAGCAATTTGCTATGGAGACAGGGGGAAATCTAAAGAAATGATATTGTTCCTAATACCTTGGACATGACTAGGAATTTTATTTCATTAAATTAATGCGTGGGTTAATTGCTGAAGAAACAATGTTTTTACTATATTCCTGTATCTAATTAAGATAGATGAATGTGACTAGGTCTAGGTACTGTTCTGTCTGGAAATCAGCGTGGAAGGTTTTTTCAGTTTTCCTATCAGAGTGCGTCCACTAATTACGTGAGGCGTAATTAGCGATTTTTCTACCGTCTCGTCTTCCCCTGGTGAGAGTATCCCCCTGGTGATTTGTAGAGTTCGCATAGCCGCGATAAATATTTTTGTGTAGGGTTTAGCCATGTTTTACTTAATTCAACCCAATTTTCTTGAAATTTTACAATGTTTCTTGCGGGAAAAAATTACGTGATATTTGCCGAAACCCTCCGTCTCCCCCACGTGAGATTGGGTGAGATTTGGTTCGGTCGGTTTTGTCTGCTGCTCATATGTTGGTTTGTTTCCCTGTGTTGCCTCTTAATTAGTTAATGATCTCCAGACCGAATTTCGGCCATGGCGTTCTCTCTTCCCTCACTTCCATAGTCCGATGGGACGGTAATCCGAAACGACCGGAGAGTGATTAGGCGCAGGACCAACAGCTTTATTTAATTTCCGAGGCACGAAAGTGAAACGCTGCCAACATTCTGACTTCGGGCTATTGAGAATTACTTGACAAAGGGACTAAGAGACCCGGGATTCGAACCCGAGATCTTATAGTAAGCAGTCGCGCATACCACCCACTAGATCAACGAGGCAGCCAGCTCCTCTTACGATACTCACGTGATGATATAGGCAGTGGATATTCTTACACCGCCATTACAAAGTTGAGTCGTTTATGCCTCTCAATAATAATAAGTCAATAGAAAGACATAAGGATGTCTTTCTATTGACTTTTACGGGATGATTAACGGTTTACTAAGCTGAAGTGGCAATAAGCCAGACATATAGCTTGAAGAATCGACAACGATGGGGCAGAAAGATTCTCGAGTGGCAACTTCGTACCGGTTAACGAAGTGTAGGGCAGCACCACACTAGATGGCGTGACGACCTGGTAAGACATTCAGAAAGTCGATGGATGCAGGTGGCTCAGGACCGTGATTAGTGGTGTACCTTAGGGGAGGCCCATATTCAGCAGTGAGCTTGTGAAGAGCTGTAATGATGATGAAGAAGGTGTATAACAAACCATTGCTGTCAGGGATGCTCTACGTAACCGTTATTAATATACTAAACATAGCCTTCGTGAATCCACAGACGATTAACATTCCCTCCCTTTATATTAGCGCCCGTATCTAATAGACAAGTCGGGCTAATGAAAATCCTACGTGATCTGTGTCTAGATGACGGTGAGTGAGTTATAGGGCCTTATACGGACGGTGTTATGTCTTTGCAACATTGTGTTAACTCGGTATTTCATATTTATTGCCGGGGGCCAGTTGGTTGATTATATTTCGCCTTTAGTAGCCGTCGCTGTAACCGTATATGGATATTTTATGCGACGTTTGCGTTTATTAGATTTTGCGCTTATCTATTAATAAAATGTGTTGTCTATACGCTAACATAAACAACCTTTTATCTATAGGTATTAAGTATGTGTAGCGAATTGAAAAGTAAAGCTGGCTATTCGCCGATAGATGGCGCATTTATGTATGTAGAGAGAGTGAGAAAAAATCACATTAATATTTTGTTTTGCGCAGCGGCAAAATTTATGATGGTGCCAATTAACTAGGGCGAAATTAAAATATTACTGTAAACAAAAAAAAAATATATATATCGGCGCGTCTATAAAATACCGGATGGATCGAGAGGTTGCATCACTCTAGCGGAGTGTCATATCGATGGTAGAGTAAAGTTCACTGTAGGCGCCGTGCGCGAGAGATTCTGCCTAAACCATTCTACGATTGCTAATGACAGTATCGTGGTTATGGAGTGTAGAGAGAAGGAGGACCATCTCTATATAAGAAAAGTGTCCCTAAAAACGTGTCCAATAAGGGTGGCGCTGCAGTAGCATAGGATAAATTAGAAAAAAAGCGCCAAAATTAATTAGAATAAGATGGAGAAATAAACAAGGACCCACCAATCCGCTTGGTTTTGTACTACGTAAATAGTTGAGGTTTGGTATATGGCATTATATTATTTTTTTTTATATACTGGCATTTTACTAACTACTCTAGTCATAAATTTTTTTAAATATTTGAATTCAGCTGACTTCACTCCGTTCACAACAGCTATCTTCATATCGTAGTTTTTCAGACGCCAGCGCTATTGTGGTAGATTTTGGAACCTCTGTTTTCAGTAAATAGTAGGACACTTTTTCAACTTTCGCCCCTTATAAGATGGTTCTCCTTGTACTCTACACTCCATAATCGTGGTGCTGCTCGTTGTACTAATGAGGGCATCCACGACTTTTTTGCCACCAGGGCGGCGCCACTAGAAAGTGAGGTATAATATTTGACAGATTTCATAACGAGAAAGTTACTTTGTTCGAAAAATGTAAAGGTTAATGCTTCTTTCTGTACTATTAGCTATATTTTATATTAATAATATTAAAAATAGATAAACCAAACCACGGATGTTCATAAAAGTAGAAAAATTAAAACAAAGTTAAAAATGTGCAAAAAAATTAAAGAGCAGACCACTGACGTATTGTTTTTTATATTAATTTAATACTCTAGAAACTGATAAACTTTTATTAAAAACCAACTTCTTAATTAAATTACATTGTGTAACAAAAAACTTTACCTCAGTGTCAGCTGTGTCTATCTGTGTCGCTATCTGGTGAGCAGAAAATTATTAGCCCTCATTTCTCTAGTGCAGGGAAGTAAGATTGTGTTGCTGAGAGGCTGCACTGTGTTACGATGAAATGGGGGTAGTATTGTTGTTAGTTTGCATATTTTGGTGTTATCATGTAACTATCTTCCTCATGATAAACTACTGTGTAATTGTGACGGTGACATATTACATTATGGTCGAACTGTAACTGGTCTATACTGAATATATACAGCTGTTTTGTTGCTAATAATGATTAATTGGGTAAGCAGTAGAATAAGTTGAACATCCGCTCTCACACTGTTTTTATTTTTAACAATTAACCTTTTTGATGTATTTCCGACAAATAAAACACTTAAAGAAAAAAATACTTGCTCCCACAGTAAACTGTTTGCAGGTTAAAATATTACAGTGTAGGTGGCAGTATAAGAAAATCTACTATAGTTATTTTATTTCATGATGAAGTTTTGACTTTGATTGTTGTTAGCCGTGCACATACACTATGTGTTAGTGTGCGTAGGCTACGGGCGCTCAGGAGGAGCGCTCCCGAGGCCTACGCAGACAATGTGTATGTGCACGGCGAGCAACAATCAAAGTCAAAACTTCATCGTGAAATAGAATAACTATACCCTATTTACCATTGGTGTCGTAAGAGGCAACAGAGGATAATAAAACAAAAGAAGGACGGTAGCATGTTCCTAATAGCAACTAAAGATAAAAACTGGGGTTGTCAGCGTGACAACTATGGCAAGTATCCCCCTTATGAGACAATATTGTGGACCTAGTATGTTCAGTGTTGGACTTGGACTTCTGATATGCTGTAATAATGATGAAGAAGACTTTCAACGAGGATTATATAACTAAAAATCTTAAATTTTTCATTTGTAAATGCGTCCAAACTTTGATTACAAGTGTCACGGTGTCTAAGCTTACTGTTTATTTAAATAACGGTTACCTCGGTCGAGATTTGGAAATCGTGATTTGACATTTTTGGCGGGAGTAAATAAATTAAGTTTTGAGGCCAATGGCGGGAAAAGAACATTTAAGTAAAATTGTTCACATTCTTAATACAAATAAGGGAGGTTTAGAGAGGGACAGAGAGGGAGTTTGAGGGACTTTTAGAGAATAAATAAGAAATGTTAATAAATTAATAACCTCTATGTTGAAATGGTCATCAAAATAAAATTTATACGTGGTAGAGCCACGCTGCAGCTATATTATGATTGTAGTACAAATGGTTCAGCATGGTGGGGGAAGGACCACACCACACCCACACTCTCGT